GATTCTGATGGCATTTTTTAGGATTGGTCACAGTGGTCTAACTTAAAACCGATTAAAATTTTGTGGTGATCCATTCATTAATTGATGGTTAATTATTAGGTAATTGTTTGTCTTGGTGGAGGTCAGTGCTCTCTGGGTACTTTTTTAAATTAGACTACATGTCTTTGAAACGTTTGGCCTGCAAGGTACTTCAGTACGTAGCATGTGGTTTACCGAGGTGGTAGCACAATGGGTATGTTACTGTTCAATCGTTTTAACAGTTCACTTGCAATAGACAAGTATGATGCTGTTAAAGGAATTGTTCCCGTGAAGATCTTAAGCGTTTTGGTGATATAATATAACACTTACCGGTTAATTATTACTTTAAGGGATAATAACTCTTCGTATGGATCTATTGTAAATTTCAGAATGGAACGTATTCCGCATCATCGTAGATTTATATTTGGCTGGAACTGACACAACCGCAAATACTTTGAGATGGTCCCTCATACATATGGTTAATCAACTGGACGTTCAGAAGAGGGTGCAGCAGGAAATTGATCAAGTAACGACGTAATAAACAGCACGATCTAGAGAGAGAGAGAGAGAGAGAGAGAGAGAGAGAGAGAGAGAACTAGCAGAGAGATGATTTTAATTTTTTTTACATTATCGCAACAATTTTATGTTGTGTAAAGAAACTGTGTCACAAAAATGTACAGTTGTACGTGGTTCTTTTACAAATTATATTAAATGGTTAATGCTTTTAATTCAAGGTCATAGGTCAAGGTCGTGTTGCCAAGATGGAGGACAAGGCTGAAATGCCGTTCACTGAAGCAACCATTTTGGAAGTCCTTCGTATTTCCCCTGTTGGTCAGTAATTTTAGCTTTAAAACTCGCGCTGTATNATTATTTGTATTTTGTTCCAGTTGTCTACACTCTACTACAGATTGAAAAATGTTAGAAATTGTTGTTAATCACACCTGGTGAATTTTTACAATCCCTCTTCTCTCCCAGTTCAAAGAGTGTCATTTCAATATTTTAAGAAGTTATCAATCAACACAACACAACAGTCCACCTAACTCTGCCAACATTCTGTATCAGTTACTTATAAGGAATGCTGAGCTATAATCAACAAATAAAATTCTAGCATAACAATAATAATAATAAATAAATGTATATGTGAACAAATCAAATGTCAAAACATTGGAAGTTTAGTGGTTAAAAAAGGCTAACCCAGAGGTAGATTTAGAGGGGGATTGGGGGGGGGGGTCCTTCGGTTTCTACAAAAACCAAAAAGAAAAAAAAAAAGAAAAGAAAAAAACAACACTAATTCTCCCCTCTCAAAATCAACATAAATTGTATTCCCTAGCTGCTTTATAGTCCTTAACCAATCCAAATGGACCCGATTTTGCCCTCCAAAACACCAAAATATTTTGGGCCCTTCAGCGGGTCCTGAACCCTAACACAAGGGGGCCAAGGGTAGGCTTCGAATCCAAGGCCTGTTATTCGTAAGAAAAACTGACCCCCCCCCCTTTTCAAATCCTGGAACTGCCCCTGTCATGCCACCTGCAAACTGCGTTCAGCAAAGTGGTATCTTCTTTGCAGAATTATTTGCCAAATACCGTATTTTTTCTCAAAATTTACAATGTCGCAATCGCTTTAACACATTTGAACATTTTTAATGATTCCTTCTTCTTAGGGGTTTGCTTAAACCAAAATCAGTGGCCGATTTAGGGGGTGTCAGTGGGGTCCTGACCCCTTTTGTCGTTTTGAAAATCACACCAATCTGAAATTAATAATTTGACTTGCTGAATCATATTTCCAAACAGCACCGTTGGTCCTCTAAAATACAAAAAAAAAATTCAGAGCCCTTCAGTGGGCCCCAACCCAACACCAATGAGGGGGGGGGGGTCGAGGGTCGGCTTTGCATGCCTGTCATTCCTAAAAAACTGACCCTCCCCCTTTAAATAATCCTGGATCCGCCCCTGTAACTCATCCCTCTGTTCTCACTGGGTAAACGGGTATTAAATTACTGATTATGATACCATACACAAACTATTGATACAAAATCTATGAAAATGCAAATACAAAACACTAACAGTGACCTCTGTATTGTGGTCAACTGATGACCCATCACCAATGGTCAGTTTACCTGAGTGTCCTAAGTGCTCTCTTCGTGACCTGTTGACCACTGTCCACTACGAGTAACCCACTTATTGTTCCCAAGAAGTGCCCGCGGTTGCCGGGTAGAAATAGTGTTGCAAGCACATAGCTTTTCATCTTTATATACGCCCTGGAGCTGAGGGAAATTTTACAATGTTAGTCCACCACATACTCTCCCTGATGATTGGAAAATGTGTGTGTATAAGGGGGGATTAACCCTCTCTTAACCCTCCTAGCTCCTATGTCTACGCATCGTTCTCATGCTGCCACAACGCGCTCTGCGTTTCCCGGGAGTTGAAGAGTTAACGCGGGCAGCGTCATTTTAGGGAGAGGCAGATGAAATAGAAAGGTCTCACGATATCTGCAAATTTGTACACTGTGAAATTAAATAATTGGGACACTTTTTTT